CCAGGCAAAACCGAGTTCCTGAGGGGTTTGGAACAACTCCTTTGCCTTGAACTTGCCCCTCAGCTTAGACTGGGATGGCAGTGGGGGTTTCTGCAGTTGTCTCTGTGTCCTCCAAGGCCACAGCAGTGCTGGGGGGTGAGGATGCAGAGCAGTGCCATGGGCAGGTTCATCAGCTCCAGGTGACTCGTGAACGTGCTCCTCTCCTCCCTCACCCTGTTGAGCTGCTGGAGATGCCCCTCCAGACCTTCCCTCGGGTTATTAATTAGATGTGACAGCTCAGCCTCTGCCTCTGAGCTCTCCTGCTTCCCACCACGTCCCCTGTGTGTCCCAGGTGGGATTCCTGCCCCAGCTCCTGCTTTCCAAGGGAAAGTCCTCAAACTGCTGCCCTGGATGTTGAGGGGGTTGTTTTGCAGCTGCCAAGGATGGTCCCTGCTCTCTCAAGGGCATGGACTACATAAGTTGTTATGGATCACTTACTCCACCAAGAGCTTTTGTGCTCCTTTTTTTTCTTTTTTTCCTGTTCTAGAGCTTTTTCCTCCTTTTTTTTTTTATTTTTCCTCAGATTTATTTTTTTTTCACACAGCCCTGTGGACAGGTAGGAATTCCCTCCTGTGTCCTCCTGGAGTCCAGACAACACACTCCAGGGGGTTGGATGTTGTACAGACCCCACTCAAGGCATGACACTTCTACTATTTATTCATTTTTCTGGGAGAGGGAGTTAATATTTTCCCTGCAGGTATTGAGCCTGATAATCTGGACATGTTTCTTCCAAGCAAGAGAGTTGTTCAGTAGGAGAAATGCTCCAGGTAGGAGTTGAAATGCTCCAGGTAGGAGTTGAAATAGTCCTCATTGAAGAAGGTGGAGAGGGAAAAATGTTGTTTCCAGGAGAACTGTTTTGAAGTCAGTTAAATATTGAATTTGCTCAGTGATAGCTCTGGGTGCTGCTGTGTGATATCTGGGCTTCTGCATCCTCCAATTAACCCTTAAAACACTGGGATTGATGAAGAAAAAAAGGGAAGAACTGAGAAACTTCCCATCTAACGAGAAGACAACTGAGCTGAGAACAAATAGTTGCTTTAGGGCTGGAGCAGTTTGATCCTGGCATGTCTTAAACCCCTGTTTTATTAGAAAAGCACTGTGGAGAAAGTTTTCTTTTGAAACAATCCTACAAATTTCTCCTCAAAATCCCACCCTGGGTCTGCTTCACATTATCTGATGCCTCTCCAGGGAAATTGCTTGGGAGTTGTTTTTTGGGGTTTTTTTTTTTGCCTTAAAGAAGAGCAGAAACATGTGAATTGTTTCCCCAGAGCTGCAGCCTCTATCTCCAGACGAGAGGGAAGCACATTGTTTTGTGCCTTTGATATGATCCAGCCAGAAAACAGCCTTAGGGGGGAAAAAAAAAACTTCCCAGTCCTTGGCAGCAGGGCTGTCTTTCTGTCTCTCTCTTTTTTTTTTTTTCCCCTGTCAGTGCCACAATGTTCAGTGTTCTAATAACTCCAGATTAAACTCACATGGGGCATCTCCAAAGTCCTTTGTAAGACTCGAGGTCAAAACTTGCTGAAAGTTCAGAGGGACGAGTCTCATTTTCCTAATGAACACCAAAAAAAAAAAAAAGTTCCAGGGTTATTTTGGAATTAGGTCTAAGAAACTGGTACAAGAAGCTACTTTAGGGCTGTAATTTAGTGGCAGTGCAGCCAATTTGTAGCGGCTGCTGAAAACTTTCCACCTTTCCGGGCTGAACCCTGCGAAATTCAGGTCACCAGGGTGATGGGGGGGGCTCTGTGGACTCCATCGGTGGCCTGGCTGTTCCTGCCCCTGGAAAAAGCTCATGGAATTTCACAGGTTGTTTCTTTTGGTTAGGCCTGAGCCCTCTTTAATTGAGGGATGTCACGATTTATTCGAGGGCAGCAGCATCTCATACGGACACACTTGGAGTCTCAGAGTTCCAGGATGGTTTGGGTTGGGAGGGACCTCAAAGATCATCCCATCCCACCCTCTGCTATGGGCAGGGACACCTTCCACCAGCCCACGTTGCTCCAAGCCCCGTCCAGCCTGGCCTTGGACACTTCCAGGGATGGGGCAGCACATCTTGTATCAAGTAAAACGAGTTTTAACAAATATTTTTGTGATTTCTTCAATATTCCTGTGCGAGGTGCTTTTGGAAGGTCACTGCTGAACCCACAGGGAAGGTGGTGGGAGGTGAACTCAACTTCAAGTTGAACATTTCTCAGTAATAAAGCAGGACAACAGAAGAGGGAAAACACCAATCATTACTATTTCTTTATCTTACTGCTCTTCCATTTTCTCCGTAGTAGTTTTTGTCGGGTCTTGAGTAAAATCTCTTCTTCCCCTTTCCTTAAATATTTATAGTTTTGGTCTAAACATAAGGTAGTTGAGAATTTAGCTGAATATAGTAGAAGACACAACACTATTCAAGTGCTTAAAGCCCAGAATAGGCCATCAGGCTTGTGTCTGGTTGCGTCATCTGACGTGGAGTGTTTATAATTTTGGGTTGGATTAAGCTAATAGAGCATTTAACTACTACTGGATCTGCGGGTGGGGATAACTGGGAATTCTTCTATGGAAGAATTTAAAATACATCTGTGGCTTGAGGCTTATGAGAAATGATAAACTGAACTCACTGCTGTGACCAGTCCTTTTTGTCCCACGTCTCCATATTCTCTCATTATTGGTTGTAGCTCCAGGAATATCCCTATTCCTGTGGGTTTGTGGTGGGGACCCTTATTATATTTTTATTATCTATATTTTTGTTATATATTCTTATTATGTATTTTTATTAAATATGTTATTATCTGGTTTAGTATGTATTTTATGACATTAAAATATTATTACAACATATCAAAATTATATTACAATATATCAAACATATTTTATCTATTTTATTATATATTTCATTATATATTTTTAATATATTGTTATAGATTTTATAATATATAATATATAATATATAATATATTTTCATTAAGTATTTTATTAAATATTTTTTGAAGTATATATTTTTAAAGCATATATTTTGTTATTATATATATTCTTTGATTCTGGACTCCTCTTGAAAACCAGTCAGATCATACAAATAACACGATTATGAATCTCTCCTTGAGGCTGAAATTGTGGTTTTCTGGAATCTACTTTTAAAATACATGAGAAATGCCCATTTTTCCATCAGCGCCATCGATTCCTTCAACACAAAGGGGCAAAGGGTGTGTCTTCAACCTTAACTCTCTTGGAATTTGTAGTGGTTTTATTTACTCTTCAAACACAAGGAATATGTTACGGGGATGCTAAACAAGAAACCAGCCAAATATTGGAATCTGTTATCTGGCTCTTTGTATTAATCATTAATTAATAGGGACATTCAGCCCAGTGCCAGAGCAATCCTGTCAATGGAGTGGAAACCTGGAGACTTGTGGCACTGGTAGATCTTGTGGTCAGGAATAATATCCAGGGATTTAGGGTTTTTTTGTGTGTACATTATAATTACCAATGGGTGGGAAAGAGGTCTGGACTCAGACCCTGTTCCTTGTTCTCTGGAATAATCTTGACCAGTCGAGGTTTGTTGTTCTCATCTTTAGGCTAAGCCTGATCTTTGCTTTGGTCTCCCTTTCCCTTCCTCTGCCTGGTGTAGGAAATGGAAGGATCCCATGTCCACCACTCCCCAAACCCATCCAAAGGGTTTGGGTTGGGAAATGAGACCCTGGCCCAGGTTGCCCAGAGAAGCTGTGGCTGCCCCTGGATCCCTGGAAGTGTCCAAGGCCAGGTTGGAGCACCCTGGTCTAGTGGAAGGTGTTGGGTTGGAACTGGATGTCTTTAAGATCCTTTCCAACCCAAACCATTCCATGATTCCATGATGTCTCCCAAGGCAGAAACAGGAGAGGGGAACATCCCATCTCTGGGACAGAGATCAGAGGCTTCGCTGTCCTTCGGTGCCCCTTCCTGTCCCAACTCTTCCAGCTCTGCCAGCAAATCTTTATTATTAGTTCTAAAACAAGGAATTTTGTTCCCTGACATTCTTTGGGATAATGTCAGGTGGGATTTGGGTCTCAGGGAGAGAGGGGCAGGGGATGCCTTGTCTCCATACCTTCTCCCTGGGATGGTGGTGAACCTCTCCATGGCTTGGATGCAAACGGATGCTGGGAACATCCATCTGCTACCAAAATCCATCCAGTGTTCCCTCCTGTGCCTGGGGTGCTCCCAAAAAATCCAGTGTCACAATTCCAACAGAACTACCTGAAGTGGGATGTCAGGCAGAGTTTTGCTTCTGCCGCTTGCTTGAAGAGGACTTTCTCTTCCCTTGGATCCCACGGGATATGTAGGAAGAAGTTTCCAAGTGAAATGTAACTCTGTGATTATGTGTACCCCAAAACTCACCTCAGACCTGTGGAATAACCTCGATTCTCCATCTGATTTTAAATTTCTGTTGCTTTTTGATGGTTTTGTGACTTCACTTTGATTTTTTATTTATTTTTAGCTCTAGCAGCCGCTGCATCCATGTGGTGCCAGGATCTTGTCAGGATTTGTGGGATGCAGTGCTAGAGCCATGCAGGGAATGACTGGCTCCGTAGAGGTTGTTATTTGTTGGGTTTATTTCCATTTCATTTTCCTAAGATTGCTTGAAAGAGGAAGACCTGTTTAATGGCTTGAGAATTAGACTTGTGAGACACTGAAGTAACACGAAATAAAATGTATTTGTGTTCCTTGCCTCGCTCTGGGGAATTTGGGCCCTTCAATCCTCCCAAATTGCTGCGTCTCCAAAGGGTACTTGTAACCACTGAAGCTGCCCTGTGAAAGGCTTTGCTGCTTGGTTCTGCCAATATTGAATGATGTCTGTTATGGAATTGCATAAATACAGCAGGAATTATAAAGGGGGAAAAATCTGTGGTGTTCGGTCATTGTTTTTACTACACTTCAAATTTTTTCTCATTACTTCATGAAATTCCTCTCTAATTCAATCTTTGTCTTTTGTCTTTGCTGCCTTGCAGGGTTGGTACAGTAGGCCTCACTAAACTTAGCTGCAACTAAGAATTTCTCCTACATCAACTGAGTTAAGGCTGTGATGCTCTTGTGGAATGTGGATTAAAAGTGCGTGCTAAGTTCCAAATTCCCAGTTGAGAAGCGGAGAAAGTAAATGTACCACTGCCACCAGCATCAGGACAGCAAACCAAGGGACAAAGAATTTTGAGCCGCGGTGTTGCTCTTTGTTAACTGGCTCACGTGGTGCTTAAGAGACGTTGGCTGGGGGGCGAGAAGTGGACGCCAGCCGGTTTACAAACATGAGGGCCGCCCTGGAGACGGCAGACATTGCCATTGTGGCCCTGTACTTCGTGCTGGTCATGTGCATAGGTTTCTTTGCCATGTGGAAGTACAATCGGAGCACCGTGAGCGGCTACTTTTTGGCAGGGCGTTCTATGACCTGGGTAGCGATCGGTGCCTCTTTGTTTGTGAGCAATATTGGAAGTGAACATTTCATTGGGCTCGCAGGATCCGGAGCGGCGAGCGGATTTGCCGTGGGCGCGTGGGAGTTCAACGCCTTAATGCTTTTGCAGCTTTTGGGATGGGTCTTCGTCCCCGTCTACATCCGGTCGGGAGTGTACACCATGCCCGAATACTTGTCCAAGCGTTTCGGAGGGCATAGGATTCAAATCTATTTTGCAGCGTTGTCTCTAATTCTTTATATCTTCACCAAACTCTCGGTTGACTTGTATTCGGGGGCGCTTTTTATCCAAGAGTCGCTAGGTTGGAACCTCTATCTCTCGGTTATCCTGCTTATCGGAATGACGGCGCTCTTGACTGTGACCGGAGGGCTGGTGGCCGTCATCTACACAGACACCCTGCAGGCCCTGCTTATGATTATCGGTGCCCTCACGCTCATGATCATAAGCATCACGGAGGTCGGCGGGTTTGAAGAAGTTAAGAGGAGGTACATGTTGGCGGCGCCCAACATCACGTCCATCCTGTTGACCTACAACATTTCCAACACCAACTCCTGCAACGTCGACCCCAAGCCCGACGCTCTCAAAATGCTGCGCGAGCCGACGGACGAAGACATTCCCTGGCCCGGATTCCTGCTGGGACAGACCCCGGCCTCCGTCTGGTACTGGTGTGCCGACCAAGTCATAGTCCAGAGAGTCTTAGCCGCCAAAAACATCGCTCATGCCAAAGGCTCCACCCTGATGGCGGGTTTCCTAAAGCTGCTGCCCATGTTCATCATCGTCGTCCCGGGCATGATCTCCCGGATCCTGTTCGCGGACGACATCGCCTGCATCAATCCCGAGCACTGCTTCCAGGTCTGCGGGAGCAGGGCCGGCTGCTCCAACATCGCCTACCCCCGGCTGGTGATGAAGCTGGTGCCGGTGGGGCTGCGGGGCCTCATGATGGCCGTGATGATCGCCGCGCTCATGAGCGACCTGGACTCCATCTTCAACAGCGCCAGCACCATCTTCACCCTCGACGTCTACAAGCTCATCCGGAAGAGCGCGACGTCCCGGGAGCTCATGATCGTCGGGAGGGTCTTCGTGGCGTTCATGGTGGTGATCAGCATCGCCTGGGTGCCCATCATCGTGGAGATGCAGGGCGGGCAGATGTACCTGTACATCCAGGAGGTCGCGGACTACCTGACCCCGCCGGTGGCCGCCCTGTTCCTCATGGGGATCTTTTGGAAGCGCTGCAACGAGCAGGGGGCCTTCTACGGCGGCATGGCCGGGTTCGTGCTCGGCGCCGTCCGGTTGATACTGGCGTTCATTTACCGCGCTCCGGAGTGCGACCAGCCGGACACGAGGCCGGGCTTCATCAAGAACATCCATTACATGTACGTGGCCACGGCCCTGTTCTGGATCACTGGGATCGTGACCTTCGTGGTCAGTCTCCTGACCCCTCCGCCCACGAAGGAGCAGGTCCGGACCACCACCTTCTGGGCCCTGAAGAACAGGAGCGTCAAGGAGACGGCGGCCAAGGGGGAGCTCTACAAGGCGCAGGAGAAGAGCATCCTCAAGTGCAACGAGAACGCCAACCACATCATCCCCAACGGCAAGTCCGAGGAGAACCTGAAGAACCTCAAGCCGGAGGACATCAACCTCCTGGTGACCTGCAGAGACGACAGCAACCCGGTGATCTCGGTGAGCCACTCCGAAGTCGAGACGCCGGTGGATTGTTACTCCAACGGCCAGGCGGCCCTGATGGGCGAGAAGAAGCACGAGGAGGAGACTGAGGACCCAGAGAGACATTTGAAATTCATAGATTGGTTCTGTGGCTTTAAAAGTAAAACCATGACCAAGAGAGCTGTTCGGGAGGTCGAGGAAGAGACTGTTTGTTTACAAATGCTGGAAGAGACTCCAAAAGTTAAACTATTACTAAATACTGGACTGGTCTGTGTGTGTTCGCTTGGAATATTCATGTTTGTCTACTTCTCTTTGTGAGTGAATAGTGAACTTTTAAGGGTATGGCTGAACATACAGAAGTTGATACAGGTCTCTGGAGATTGTTTTTTTTTTCCTGTTTTTTTTTGTTTTTTTTTTTTGAATTTCAAACAACATAACCACAACCCAGGCATTGTTTACGCTATAATTGTAAGATCAACTCAGCTTTAGCCTATTTCCAGACCATTTGAGACGTGTTGTCCTCTCTCTGCTCAAAGCAGAACCTGTCCTGTGGTGGCTTTTTCTTTTTTCCCTTTTGTGGTTTTTTTATTTTTTTGTTGTTTTTTTTTTGTTCCATTTGCAGTACTAACCTTTTGTTTTTTACGTGTATAAATATACCAAAGGCAGGCAGGTGGCTGTGTTTGAAGTCAGGCAGTTCCAGCTCAGTCAGCATTAAGATAACGAGTAATCATTTACCAGTGTGGAAAATCTAAATGATCAAAGCTGTGTCAAAAGGTTTTTAAATGTAGAGCTGTGATGCACATCCTGTAAAATAACTGTATTCCCTTGGCCAACTTAGCACTTCTTAATTTTGCTCACTGCTTTCAGTTGTTTTTATTTTTTTTTTTTTAATTCAATCTCTCATTTCTCTTATGGCAACAACAGGGAGTTATTTTGTCTCATTTTATAGCACTTAAAACATGGTAGTTGTTAGTAGCTTTCTGGTTTTATTTTTTCTTTGTAAGAGAAGTTTTGTCTTTTGTTTTATTCTTTTTTTTAATCCACTGTAAATTCCAGTACTGAAAAATTGCTGTATTTAAAAAAAGAAAAAAAAAGGGAAAAAAAGAAACAACAAACCAAACTGAAAAAAAAGCCTGGACATGACAAACTGTCACTGGAGGAGGAGGACAAAGAAATAATCTTTATTTGGGTTTTGTATTCAGCAGGGTGGGAAGGGATCTCTGGAGATCATCCAGTCCATCCCCCTGCCAAGGCAGGTGACACGGGAACGTGTCCAGGTGGGTTTGGAACGTCTCCAGAGGGAGGAACTCCCCTCCCTCCCCGGGCAGCTGTTCCTGTGCTCTGCCACCCTCCGTGGAAAGATGTTTTTCCTCATGTTGAGGTGAAACTGGTGTTTTAGTTCATGGCCATAAGGCCAAGAAGATAATTTCAGCCTCTTCAGTCTCTGAACCTTCAGGACACAGTTAACATTAGGCTCTTTTTAGGGAAAAAAATCTGTTTGTATGTTCTGCCACTTGGGAAGAAGAGAAATGTGAGGCTCTATGTGTTGTTTTCCACACTGGAAAAGGCCTGTTTTCCTGTGCTGTGGATGTCTGGAAGGAGTCTGTCCCCAGCCCTGCTGCTGCTGCAGGTGGAGTCTGGGAGGGGAGAAAAGAGCAAAGGGGGAGTGGGGGAGAGAGGTGAAAGTGCTCCTTATTTTCCAGAGTCCTCTTGCCTCATGTTTTCTCCCATTTCCCCTTTCACCCTGTCAAGCCTCCTTTTATTATTTTTTTGTGAGGAATCCCAGAATGATTGAGGTTGGAAAAGACCTCTGAGCTTGAGGTGACCCAGCACCACCAGAGCACTGAGTGCCACATCCAGCCTTTCCTCCAACACCTCCAGGGATGGTGATTCCACCTCCCTGGGCAGCCCAGTCCGATATCTAGTGGCCTTTTCTGGGAAGAAATTCCTCCTAATTCCTCCAGCCTAAAGCTCCCTCCTCCCAACAGCTCCCCAGGGATTCCGTGTCAGGAGATGAGGAACGTGTGCCACCACAATCTGTGTCGGGAATCCAGGTCTGCCCTCGTGATTCTTCCAAAAAAAGTTCATTTCTCCCAGACAATTAGTAGGTCTCCAGCTGCTGAGGATCTTTCCCTGCTGAGGGATAAATCCTGAGGCAGGGATGAGCAATTCCCAGGTGTGCAGCACGTGGAGCTCAGCAGGCCTAAAGGTGGCAGAGCTCAGTCCACCTCCCTGTTTTTGGGTGCAGAGCTGACAGTGTGTGGCTGCCCTTCCAGTATTAAACCCCCTCCCAACTCCAGGACAGAGTGGTCATATCCAGGCTTTCCATGGAAATAATTCCTCCAGTTGTCTTTGCTCCCGAGCTCGTTCAGGGCTTGGGAGAGAACAAACTGGCTGGACCAGAAACGATCTGAGGGACCATCTGAGTGTTCAACTAAATCAGTTCCAGGGTCCAGCGACATTTCCTTGGCACAGAAACAAGAACCAATTCCTGAGAAATCCGTCTGTAGAGATGAAATTGGGGTCAATCCTGCCTTTGAGGGCTGGAGAAGGTTTCCTTTCCAGCACGGTGGTGCCGTAACCCGTCCACATTTAGCAGATCACGGGTCTGTTTGCAGGTGAAATGGTTCCACTTCCATTTTTGTGGGTGGTTTTTTTCCTGTTAGTTTTGGTGGTGTTTTTACATCGATCAAATCTCGTTCATTCCGAAACTCTAAACAGAGGCTGAGATGCCCCCACTTTCCTCCACTTCCTTTAGTTGTTGCTGCTGGGAAGTCGACTGCTCTGAGGTGGAGGAGTTGGAATGTTGTTGCAATCTGTGTAGAAAGAGTCATCATCCCTGGTCGTGGTGACAAGACACATCTTCTTACCATTTCGTGTGGCTGGTTTCGTTCAGAACATGATTTAAAATCCTTTTTAATGGCCAAAATTAAAAAGGGTGCGTGAATTAATGGCATCTCAAATGACTTCATTAGTGGGCTGAGCTGGGAAGGATGGGAAGATGTACAAAGTACCTGGATTTTTAGTTTTTTTTGTCCAGAGGATAAAACGACATCGGGATAAAACAACATTCGATCTCGTAGTGGGGATGGAAAAAACAACAACTCGTGGAGGGTAAAGATCATCTCAGTCCAACAACCTCTTCTTGAAAAGGCTGGGATCTGGCTAAAAAAAATGCCTCCTTTGGCACAGGGAAACAGCCTCATGTGCCAGGCACTGTCCCTTGGGAACTTGGCGCGTGTTTTTAGGAGCGGCCGGTGCTTGGCTTTTCCAGGCCGCCCCTCTTTGCTCTCAGTATTAACAAATGCTTTGCCACAACCTGTTCAGCCAGGTTTGCTCAGGGACCCTTTGGCTTGGCTGCCATCGCCTCACCTGTGCTTGCTCTTTTTTTTTTTTCCCAGGGTGCCTTAAAAAAAGGTTGGGAAGTTGAAGGCGCGGCTTTTCCGCCCGCCCGAGGAGGGCTTTGCTTCCAGTGGCTTTTTCCCTGCTCGTTTGAACTCCTCTTTGCCTTCCCCAAATGATTTAAAGAGGACACCCGAAGGGGTTGTTAATTCCCAGGTGTCACTGTAACTACAATCCATGGAGGAATCACCCTCGGAGGGTGGGAGTCAAGTCCCTCCCAAATGTGGAGCCTGAGATGCTCCATCTCCCAGTTCCAATATTCCCACTTCCCAAACCAACGAGTTGCCACATTAATCACAGTGATAATTGGCAGGCAGCCTATTTATTACTTAATAAATTAATACTCTGAATCCCCCCCCCCTCATCTTCGGACCTGTTATTGTGAAGAAGCTTTTAAGCAAATTATTTCTCCGGGTTTTTTTTTTTCTTTTCACATTTAAAAATGTGGGTTTATTTCTGTTTTCGTGGCATAGAGGTCATAGAACTTGCTGGTGTTCTTTGCTGCAGATAACCACTTAATAAAAGGCCTTTGTTATAAAAAAATAGATATATTTATAAGGCTTCAAGCAAGCTGCCTTTTGGTACCTCACCCTGTGTTATGGACCTTGGGAGAAGTTGCTTGAGGATTTTTTTATAGCGTAAACATGCCTTTGCTAGTCATGGAAGGTGTTGAGGAGTTTTGGGTTGAAACACCGATTTTTTTGGGGGGCTGGTAAAATTCCAAAGCGTTTCCCAGAATGGACAATCAGTTCCATAAATTTTGTGGCCTCCTCCTCCTCCTCCTTGGTGGGACTGGTGGGTGGTGCAGGAGGAGATCCAGGAGGACACTTGGCTTTTATCGTGGTTTATTTATTGCCTTGAGCTGAGAATGACAGGCTGGAAAAACTGATTTTTGGAATGACAGCTTTTTTTTTTTTTCCTCTTGGTATTTCCCTTAACTTATTTTTTTTTTCTGTTAAGATATTTGAATATTCTCCCAGAAATGGTCGAAGCCTTTTATTTAAAAAAAAAAAAAAATTAAAAAAAAAAAGAAAGGGCTTCTTGAGAGCTTAATAGCAAATTTTGGGAGACTGTTCTTATTTAAGTTTTTTTTAAATGACTGATTTGATGCTTTTCTCTGCCAAAGTTTAGGGGTGGGGTTTGTTTTTTTTTTTTGTTGTCGTTGTTTTTTGTAATTTTTCCTGGTAGCTTTTCCTCGAAGGAAACGGTGGGAGATTGTAAGAAATAAAAAAATGGCCTTCAGTATATATTGTATTGTGTATTTTTACTTCTCTTCTGTGTTTCCCTGATCCCAGAAGGGCCAACATGAGACTTCTGATGCGAGTCATGAGCCCTGTAACTGAGGAGGGAAATGAGTCCATTTCCTGGGGGTTACAGTGGAGAGGGCAGAGCCATCCGAGGGTCTTAGAAGATGCTTTTGACTTTAAAACAGCTTTATTTTTTTTATATATCTATTTTTTTAAATCCTAAGATAGAGGAGGTGTTGGGAGATGCTCCCTTTCAGAGAACAGGATACATGGAAGAAGTTGGAGTCGGGAAGCTCCAGCTTTTTTTTTGAGGAAATCTTTGGATTTAGCATGTACAGCAAAGCAAAATTACTCATCTGTTCATTTGGTATATTCTGTATGTTCTGTGCCCTTAAATGTAATTGTTTTGAAAAGAAAACTAACCTTGTCATGTGATGTTAAAAAAAGCAGATTTCTGTGCAATGTTTTAATTTCTTTTTTTAAAAGAAAAAAGAGAAAATGTTTGTATATAATTCAATGGTTTAATGTGCTTTAATTGGCCTGAGGTAAAGAGTAGTCCTAGAATGTAAACATATATAATTAGGATTTCTGATTTCACTGTGAGATCTCTGAACTCTTGGTTGTTTTTCGGGTTGGGGTTGTTTTTTTGGGGGGGTGTTTTTTGGGGTTTTTTTTTATGGCAAAGTGGTTTGTTTTGGTTCCGAAACACTTTGATTTTTCTGTTCCTGGTGTTGGTTTAAAGGCTTCACTTCTGTTCTGATCTCGAACTCACGGTCTAGTGACATCTGGTGACACTTGGCATTCTCAGTTTTTCACTGTGTAAGAGTCAGACACACTTGGGGCAAAACCGGTGGTGATGCGACAAATTCTCTGTGTCTCTTGAGTCCACGTTTTTAAAATGAGGTGGTTATAAAAATAGTTGCTGTGCAAAAAAATGTTAGTAGTCTTCTTCAAGAAGAAAGCGAAATTTTCTAATCTCACTCGAGCAGTCTCTTCATTCATCTTCTCTTCTTTTCCAAGCACGGTGTCAAAGTGATGCTGCTTTACCTTGTATCTCTGATAGAATGTTGTTTTTTCTTTTTTAGGGATCTGTGAAGTAGTTTTGGGTTTTGTTGCTGTTGGATTTTTATATAAAATACCAGTTAATGAACTGCCTTTTTTTTTTTTTTCTTCTCTGGGTTTTTTTGGGGGGTTTTTTTGGGTGTTTTTTTTTTTAAACTCTTCGACTAAAAATACATTTCAGACCAAAACCAAATGATATCATATAGCATTTGAAACCTGCCTTTTTTCCTTGGCCCTTGTTTTATTTGAAATAAGCCAAATGGGCATGTAGATAAGATCACTATAATGGAGCCAGGTCTCTTTTGGTAAAGTGTTATTTAAAGGTCTGTTAAGATCTTATAAGACAAATATACTGAAAAACAAAAAAATTACTGTAGTAGGAATATAGATTTAGAAGTGTTAATGAGGTTAA